ATTTAAAGAAAATACAAACTATATATTATTGAGTATTGATATCAAAAAAATTAAAAATTAAAACGCAGCAAAATATCTTTCTGTGTATAGTGTGCAAATGTTGTAAATCTACTGGAAATAATGTAGGTACTCATAATAGTTTATCGGTCGTGAAATTGTTTTTCTAATATGTCCCATTATTATACAATAACCATTTTTGTTACTGACTTGGAACCACTTTTAAAATATTCCACATTTTAATCCTTCTCACAATTGCATTAAAATTGCCTATACTAAGCCCCTTAAATAGTGGTTGAGTGTGAAACGAGATCATGAATTTTTATTAATTCCAACCTGTCCGAAAGTAAAGAAATATGTAAAGTCTTATAAATTAGTATCTAGTTAGTGATATATTATGTTATATTCTGCAATGCAATTATATTTGGACGTATATGTGGGCAGTGAATAATTTATATGACAAATATATTGTTTCCACCTATCCGCATAATCGTATCGTGTATTCGTAAATAACTGATAGAAACGACTTTAACGACTTCAACACGAAGTGTGTATAAAAAAAGTGAATCTAGAAAATAGTATTAGGGTAGGGCAAATGATAAATATGAAAGCAAATTCTAATTTCAAAATAAGTTTTTATTTAAATTGTGTTAGGTATGTCAGTTTTTGCCTGACTTGTTGTTTTATCTATGTGTATAACATTTTCTCTTAGAGCATAGGAACTTAACGAAATTGTCAAGGTAATGTTTTTGTTTTCTATGAATTGCAAGTTAAGTTATATATTAATTTCATGACATACGAAGTTGCCGGCGACCCTTTAAAAATGTTTACTAGAGTCTAGAACCTAATACTAGGATTAAAAACAGGAGCATCAGTTTGAGATTTTAATCAACGTAAATCACTACTGATAATTTTATACTTAACCAAAAGGTATTTTGTAATACATGTATCTTCGGTACATTGATTGTTATGTGAACATATTTTGAAAATCTCATTATTACACCTGCTAGGCGTATACAGATTTAAATCAAACCTATGAAGTTTTCACTGTAAAAAACATGGAAACCCATGAATAAAAAACAATAACAAGTGCATATTTTCGTGTTTACGTAGTGCATAACTTTTAAACGAATAATATACAAACAGCAGTATGTTGAGCGTTAAAGTTCGAGACCCAGTTAAGGACGACGTAACCTGTTATACGTGGAAATACATTTCTGGTTAACACACGTTTCTGCAGCAGTGGTCCGCCACGTGGTTGCGCCATTTGAACCGTCTCGAGGGGGTATACGCTAATTATTAATTGAATAATATATATTATATTTTTAACTCGGGCGGTAATTATAAATACCTGACGTGCGTAACAACATTATATTATACCTACGTCGGTGGTTTGGACTTTGCCGGGGGAGTCGTGAGCTTATAACATTATACCTATTATATGCACGCGGTAGGTACATAATACTATATACCTATTATACGTATATATAGGTACATATTATTGTAAAGCAGCGCTTGTGCATTAGGTATATACCATAATACCTATAATACCTATAAGATTCGATACCGCGGCGTAATGGCGTGCGCAGGTCTCGCGGGGTTATGCAACTCGCCCGGTCCAATGGTCGTTGTTATAACCTTGTTAAGAATGTCTGTAATTTATAATATATTATGTCCCGATCGCAAAACTGGTCCACCGACTGGCGTGCGCGCATAAGCTCCGGCATGATTATATTATATTATTATTATTATGTTTGTATATACGGTTTATTATTATTTATTTTTTCGCATTTCACTCCCACAATCCGTGTTTAGCCTACTTTGTGATTAATTATTATCAAAATGCTTCGGGTCGACGAGCTACAACTGACAAAACACCGTATAAGGCGGTCGACTCGATGCACACTTTAGGCATATACGATATACTATATAGATTGTATGAGGTATCTGAGTAAGATTATACATAATATATATATATATATATATATAAGTTACACGTTATAAGTGTGTATCGAGAGTGAAAAAACGAAAAACCTCTCAACGGTCACTGTATAGTGCAATTAACTACATTAATAACCAGCAAACAAAATGTGGGTTTTTTCTTTATTTATTTAAAAACTGGTTCAAAACTCAGCTGTTACGATTTATATTTCGACATTTTTTTTAGTGATTAATAATTATCCAATACCTACGCTATTCATTAAAAAAACGCTAAGCGCAATAATATTACTTCCTCATCGCCTACTATATAATAATGATACCTACATACCTTGTATTATATTATAATATTATTCTGAGAGTTTTCGTAGGTACATACAGTACATACAGTACCTACCCCATATATGTTGTAACTTAAATTTTTCAAGTGATTTATGTCAGTATTGGTGCTGGGATTTTTATATTATTACGTCTTGTCTAGCTGCTTAAGGTGACTGCTCAAAGGTGTAACTTTTATGATCAAGATATTTTACACAAGCATTAAGAATTCTAATGGTACTTGATAGGTTATTGGTGCTAAGAACTATCATTAAGTGATCTCCCTACTTCAAAATGTTGATAGTTAAAGTTCAAATAAAAATAATAATGAAGATAAACATTTATAGTTTATATCCTAACATATTATACAACGAATAACGACAAGTGTATTAAAAATATAAATAAATATATATACCTAAACATTTTAACGCATCTAAAAAACTAAGTATTTTGTATTTTTTTTTTAAATTTGCATATACGCCCCAACTTCTATGGTTATCGGCGTTTATGAAATACATATTATTTTGTATTTTATTTAGTTGACTTATACATTGATTTCATAATTGTTTTTTAAATATGTGAATTTGAAAAAAATACTTTATAAATATACAAAATATTCAATGAAATTTGTATGTTTGCGAAATGTATTGTAAAGTACAATATTAATTACTAAAAGTTTTTGTCTGAATATGAGAACTGAACACCATACATATTTAGGTATAAGAATTTATTATGAGTCGTTGAGTTTACCTGGACTACTTTTAAAATGTATATCGAAAGCACTTAACTCACAGATTTCCGCATTGTTTTGATACAGTTACGCAATGAAGCTAGGTTTACGACCTTAATGTCTAAAAATGCTAGTTATCGAAGTTATACTATTTAATAATTAATATTGAATAGTTTTCAAACCAGCTATACTTACATTAATCGTCAACATTTCAACAAGTTACTGTTGTATAATAGGCAATTAAATTGATAGACAAATAATTTGAGGCAATTCGTATCAAAATATTACGACGAAAACGTATCGTTAAGATTTCTCAGAAACAATATAATATACATTCCAATATGTCGTATTTATATACTACATTATATTGCCATATTTAGATTAACCTGGCACAATTTTTTTTCCCGTAAGGATTCGGAGCGTTTAAAAACAAACATTTTACAAGTCATACTACCACTTATACATACCTAATGGCGTATATTGTATGGTATAGTATTATTGAGTGTAATAATATGTAAGTGGGTACACACACACATACCGCACGTAACGATATAGTATATTATATATTTATATGTATATTGTAAATCACTGTCGAGTCAGAAATCGTACACGTAGCGCGACTTAAGAAACAGCGCAGGATACGACTCGATCGTGTGTTATTAGATGACGAACACTATATACAAAAAAATAAATGTACTGTATAAACGTACATCCATAGTGTTTAGCATTTTAACGTACCTATAAGTATATCCGTGACCTTTTCGACCGCCGCCGCCGTTGTATAGATGTATTATAATTTATAGATGTATTATACCTGGGTATAAAATACACACACACACACACGTGGAAAAACGGCGGCGGCGTTTATACACGCGTATTTAGTGCTTTTCGCGGATAAAATGGGAATTGCGTAATATCATTATGAGAGTATGATAAAATAATAGTATACTATATGGCGAGTGTTATAGTTGTTCTATACCATTGTGTGTACGAAGCGCGGAATGTGTTGCACGCGAACACATTGCTAACGAAACGCACGCGATTTACCTGTAAATGTATATATATATACGATACCCATATATATATATATATCTACCTCACTTGTATATATATATACGCGCATGCGAAGAAGATCCTATCCATTATATAGACTCGGAGAGACCGCGTACAGATATATTGAGTAGTGTAAGAGCCCACCGCCGATATTCGCAGTCGCGGAGCTTTTTATCGAGACGTATAATTGTGTCGATCGTCGTCGCCTTGGACGTTATATATATTAGGTATATTATATAAGTACGCGCCTACAGGGTGTATCGGGAACATCGCAGGATTTTACACACTGACGGAATCACGTTTGAACACACATTTCACCGCGATACACCCTGCTTGTACAATATAATATTATTGTAATATCTGTTTTTATCGTTGTACACGTGGATGTACCCATACGTATAATTGTATATAGATCCAGCCGACGGGGGATTGCGTATCGCGGTACGCGTACCTATGCTATTATATTATAATATTATGCTCGCAGTTTATAAACAATGTTATTATAATATAATATAATATGCGTACATGATAGTATGATACATACATAATATTATTATATGGCATTACCCTGCAGTGCCCGCGCCCTGCACCGATAAATATATATATTATTTGCGAGTTCAGGTACACCCATGTATAACATATTATATATATATATATCTATGGAGCATTAGGCGCATGTAAAAAGCGCTTATAATAATAGATTACATGTAGAATACCTATATGTGAGCGAAAAAATAAAGTAAACTTCTGCGGCAGCCGGAGTTGCAGGCAATAACGCGGACTAAATCTGTGTGGTGGTTATTTTTTTTTTTTTATGTAAATCACGATAACTGGATTGCTCCGGTTATACAACCGAGTGGCGGCTGCAATAGCCGACCGACACGCGTGTCGGAAGAAAGTTGTCTCTGCGAAGCGAAAAATCTAATCGGGTTGGGTTCTGTTTTTGTTTGTATTTCCCTCTTACCTTTTTGGCCAATGGTGCAAACATGAAACATTTGACAGCCGGTCTCCACGTCCGCGTAATAACCTCCGATGACTTTGCCGTCGCATGAGAAATTCGTGTCCGGTAAATTGTCAAAGTCCAAATACTGAAAACGTACAATATGACATTAATAAACGACGTTTGACGACAAAACTATAATATATGCTACAGTTTTGAGCTTAGACTAGATGCGACGAATTTTAATCGGTACCACATAAATTTTGAAAAATTTTGTTTGCAATTAAAAGTAGATATTTTTATAATAGCCATTTTAAATTTAAGTTTTTTGTAAATGTAAAATAAACTTATGTTACACCGAAAAATGTGCTTAATCATGTGGATAAAGTTATAACTGTAAGTAACAAGAAATCCCTATAGGGATTATTGATAACTGATTTTAAATGTGATATTCTCTTTGTCCTTTGATCATCACTTTTATGACTGGACATCCTATATGTATCCCATAAACTGTATAATATATTAATATTGTCTATTATTTCAGAAGTGTAAGTGATTTTTCTATTAAAAGTAAAACAAATTCTCACCAACATCATGTTTCTATATTTTATAGTCAAATATTTGAAATATTCAAATAAAATTTAAAAATAATGGATTTATACAAGTTGTGTTGAAAAATTATGTCGAAATAATGGAACGGAATGTTGGAATAAGGGATGACAGAACCATTTTAAACCAGATAGCTAATTTCGCATTCACAATTATTTCAAGTTTACCAATAAGTTTTACGGGTATATATGTTGTAAGATTTATATGATAAATAATAATTTTATTGACGACAACTCAACTATTTATTGTATTAGCCAAGCGACAATTATGAAAAGTAGAGATATACAAATAAATAATAATAATTAAATCGAAAAATGTTTATTTATATTTTAGATTTAGGTCAAGTCAATATTTCATTAAAATTGGTAGGTTTATAAGTAACTGTATAGTTATACGCTGATTATACTTGTATTGGACAAATATTTGGTGAATACATATTATTATACTCGTATAATACATACTATTATATAATAACTATATAAGATGTAATGAATTTATATTTTATATAATAACCATTAATTAGCTTTATGTTTATATTGAAATATTTATCGGTAAATATTATAATAGCGTGTATACAAAATACAACCATACACAGTTAGAATAAATTAGTGTATGATTAAATATAGGTACATCCTACATATTAGTATATTACTAAGTTAAAAAGTAAATATCATGTTTATTTTACATTAAAAAATACCTAACGTCAAAGGTTACAAAAATAATTGGTATTTTTTATTGTATGTTGTTTTTCACTTACTACAGTTTCGTAGAACATTTTATTTAATACGTAATTTGTTGTCTTTTCTGTATTTTTAATTTAAAATGCATCTTGTGTATGACAGTGAAATCAAGCTCAGTAGATACATTTACAAGAATACAAATTATGTTTATTCAAAATGTATTTTTAAATTATATAATACAATTATTAATTATTAAAGGAAATACATTATAAACAATATTATATTGTATTTAGTAGAAATATAAGTATTATTAAATAGTATAATACACAGTTGATGTTTCATTGATTATTTTCTTGTATATCGCTTACTTTTCGAGTGACCGCATATTATTTATTATTTATTGAACCAATCCGGTACCTAATGTTTTTGAAATTGTTTTAAAAGATGTTACATATGTTATGGCGACGCATGGATGTGAAAAAAATATTCAAAACAAATACATTGGTGTCTAATAGGCGAAAATAAACGAAGTGTACCAATACAGATAAACTACACATGTCATTTTATAACCAGTTAAGAAACTGAGTCCTATACGTATCTATAATACTATAGGTAGTTATTTTTAACCTTAACTTATACATTATATATATATATATATATGTGTATGTATACTACAAATCAATATACCAAGCGAACTGAATTTGTAATGAATATATCAGCATAATAATTTAAAAGTCAGTCGCAACTGCCAAGGATATCGCATATTGTAATTTTTTTTTAAAACACACACACACAGTAATACTAATTTTCAGATACTTTCTCCGCGAGGTCTAGTTAATCGTATATGTCATCATATAATATATACACATTTATCTATTTAACATGTTTATGAGATTATTTAAAAATTAAAAACGTGGAAAAACAACCAGACCGTTTCGGTTAAAGTGCGTTCACAAATTAGATTTTCCAATTGATAATTAATTTTCGATATAATTCGTTACGTCAATAATATCTGCAGTATTATATGCATACTATTATTATTATCCTGTGTAATGTGTACCTGCAGGCTATTATACCTAATATCTATTACCCATATAGCCGTTTTTTACATAGTTTTATTTTTCGCATTTATAACACATGTGTTCGCATATTATTATACATAATTTTATAATATATAGGATATTAAAACAGTAAACACTTGAATCTCAAAAAAAATAGAACATTGTTTTACATTTTTCGTGTTATTTTCTAAGTTTAGATGAACGAAGTGGAGTGGCCTGTGCTAGGTTGGTACTGCAGTTTATTCTGTACTGACTGGCGACTGCTCTGTACTGTGCTGTACTACAATAATGTACTGACTGTGCTGTAAGTACTGGATTATTCCCAATACCTGTGTAGGCATGTAGCCCGAATAACGTCGATATACTACTTATCGAAACATTAAATACTTTTAACTACTTAACTAATGGTTACGAAATTCTCAGAATAATATTTTACATGGGATTATGAAACTGGATGTTGTTATTTAAAAAATAAAAACTTAAAAAATGTTCAAAAACTTTAATATTTTTCGAGAAAATGAGTGTTAACAGTTAAAACAACCACCCAGTATACATTATATATATATATATTATAATAAATTATGAACGCAAAATTACTAGCGATTGTGTATATATATATATGTATAGTGTATACGATTATCCGTCATCTTAAACACCGGCAACAATCACCTCGATGTTCTAAGCGTTCGTTATGTGAGCACATAATATAATAATTATATTATATATGTGTTATGACTTATGGATATAATAGCTGGTACCTCTTAGTGCACCTATAGGTAACTATACCGCGGTTCTTCGAGCGTGTCCGAGTTATGTAATTTAGTCAAAACAATCACACATGCTAGAATAGATGCCTATACAGAACTGCTGTTTGGGCGTCGGGCGCAAATAATCACTACCTATGTAATATAGGAACCTATTATTGTGCACAATAATATGTCATTATTCATATTTCAGGTATTACTGCACACTCGGGTGGGGTGTATTTTCATAAAGTCACACTCGGTTGTTTCGCCCCACGATCTATATTATCGAATATATTGAGTCGTTAGAAACTTCAGCGCTCCGGCATACACCACAAATCGCATATATTATGCATAAAAGATATAGTATTATATTAATAATTTAATGTATACTTACTCCGGGTTGCACGGCGAAAGTGTAAATATTGGCGGCATTCCACCAGCAATTGCAGTTCCACAGCGCGGCTGAAAATAAAAAAATACACAATATAATAAGACGTTATTAAATTAATGAAAAACGTGATGTTCGAACACAATAATATATATATTGGGCAGTTGTACAATGCGCCACGCGAGTACAATATATTAATAATATATACATAGGTACATAATAGGTATGTGTAGTGTGTACCTATACCTATGTATATACCTATATTACGCGTCTTGCGGGGAGCGAATCTATCGAATTCGTTTGACCGATGTAGTTTATGAAATAAAAAATAATAATAAGTACCTATGTGTATACGGAGTTACAACATAATTAACGGTTTTTTTCCTCATTAAAAAAATTAATGTATAAATATAACGACGCCCGACTGTTATTATTATACGTATACATTGTACGCATATCGTATAGGTCTATCTCGAACGATTTACGTAATATAGGCCGTATATTATAGTTTAGGTATAAAGCCATAAAGAAATTCGGTGGGACTCGTCGTTTTTACGGTTGTTATTATATATAGTACTGTCATATTATTATGCAGTTCTCACTAGGATAATTATAATATCTGCAGCTGGGGCTAAATCATTTCAAAAAATTCGAATTCGAGTGTATTTTAACGACGTGCTAACTGCAGGTGCTACTACCGAGATGTCTGGTCATATTATATAACTCTGGTAATCATGTTACTGTAGTATAATATTGTTATCGTATAGATATACTACGGAAACACCTACACACACACAAAATATATGTATACCTACCTACTTATTACTTATATATTATATATAGGTACTGCTGCAGTCGATTTATCGTATCGCGATGAAATCATCTTTTATGTTGCAGTGCACCGCAGTCACCTTTTACATCGGATAGTCGTATATTATATTAAATTATGTATAATTAATTGGGACGTATATTATGCTATAATGTATAGAAACAGTCAGAAATCATATACCCGAGCCCGAGGGGTATTGTGCACAAGAATATTGGAGAAAAGATAATGATATTTTGTGGGATAAAAAAAAAGGTCTGTCGAGGATGCATACAGTGATAGTGTATAATATTATACTGTGCCTGCAGTGTGTAGTATATGAGCGTATATACTGCATAATGCGGTTGGCCAATAAAGTTGTGAAAAAAAAAAAAAAATAATAAAAACTAAAAACAAAAAAAAAACGCCTTATTAAACCGATCTTTCATCCGTGGATATGCAGTGCGACCTCGGCAACCGAGCATGACCCCTCTTCTCGGCCAGCCCGCGGTGTCGAGACCTATGATCCGCCGAGGCTCGACGTGGTGTACCGTAATATAAGTCGTACAGTTCGAGTCTGTATACAAGAGTGCTGCAGTATAGGATAGAAAGAGTAAACAATCGCGGTCTGCAAGCCGGACGATGGGAAAGAGTGGCCGATGGTTTTTTTTTCAGAGTCGCGTCCCAGATAACGAAGTTAACATTTTTTTGGCCGCAATTCGCATCCCGTAGTTTCGGACGCACCGGTAATCCGCTGCAGGCTATACTGCACCGATTAAATATATATGATAATAATATTGCAGTATATCAGTGAAAAATATTCCTGAAAAATGACGGCGAAACGCTGACTTATGATGGTAGTTTGAGTGTGCATGACTGACGACTCATAGATTTATCGTTGAAAACGCAATAATTCCGATCGAAATTTTAAAATTCACTAACCACGATTCCCCCGTAAGCCCAAACATGCGCTTACACAACAGCTGTGATTGTGTGTTTGACAAAAAGTGTTGACATCGTAAATACTACCTTACATGTTATACAGTACTATATACATATACCAATATATTGCCTATTACGTTCCATGAAACAAAAACCAACAGAACGAAAAAAATAATTATTCAAAACGTTATACTTGTACATTATAATTTATGGTCAAAGCTTTTAAAAAATCTAGTAAATAATCGGCAAAAATTCCATATGTCTTTTAAATTACAATAATCATACGTGCCTATACAGCGATTTATTCAAAAAAATTAAATCGTGCGGTTAGTTATTTTAATATTATATAACTGTTAAAAGTCAAAATAAATATTCACGGGATACTTATAAATTACAATTGATAGAATGCAGATTTAAGATTCTTCAGACAATTCTCATTGTGTTCGTTTTTGAGTGCAAATTAGAATAATTATAATATTGAAAGTTTTTACATTAATCAAAATTAAATAAACCGTTTTTATTGTTTTCTATTATATTATTCATTGATCGTTAACATGTTTTTTATGGACAGTCACACGATGTCCTAAACAATACCAAAGTTGAATATTATTATTAAAACGGTTAGTCACATTATAGGTATCATAGAATTACTTTTCTGTTCATATAATACAATATATTAATAAAATAAATAAATCTACTTAGGCATTGTGTTATGCAAAATTGTCTGCTTGTTAGTTCACTTGATTACGATTCCTAGACCTAACCGCATAATATGTATTATGAAATGTTCACCTAAACCACAGTTATAACTGTAGGTATGTTTGATTTGTATAATATCCTTGATGAACTGCACACTACCATATAATATAAGATATCATTAAACGGTTTCTCAAGATATATCCAAATTTCAAACGACCTAAATTGTCACTTATCTTAACTTGTGGTTCATGTAAATCACATTTTACATAGGTATGTCACATTCATAAATTTATATATACTTGCTTGATTTTACAGACACGGTTTCACATTGATCCTCGTTAAACTCAGTCACATTTAAAGAAAACGATTTCACAATAATATAATATGAATACATTATATAATATTGTTGTCTTGATTTGAAATTAAAGACATTTTCGATAGCTAGTTTTTGAAATACCTTCCGAGTTCCGGTTAATTTATTCTCATCTCTATACAATCGTTTTCTTTATGCATAGTACGAATTTCGGTTGAATATATACGTATTTAATTGCTAATATTGTTTTGAATGTAACCGTTGCACCCCAACTTGTGTTATAATATTATATAGGTATTAAAGCTACCAATAATATAATACCAATCATTTTTCTATACTCATATACCTAGTATAAAAGTACCTTTTCAAAGGAGTCAAACAATCGAACCATAAGTAACCGCAAGAATGGAAAAGTGTATTTTATAGTTATAGATAGGTAACTGATATTGATGCGATATTTTGTGATCCTTAATAATAAATTAATAGGTACTTATATTATATAGGGGGATCTCATATACTCACCAAAATTGGAGTCATTTTGTCACATTATTTAATTGATTCGTTATCAATCACGCGGCGCGTGTTTGTTGCAATCCTCTCTTCTATCGAATTTGCCAATTCAATAATACAATAATAACAATAATTTGAACGTTTCAGTACCTACATATTATGTCTACCGCATACACAGTTGTCGTGCAGCTTCCCGACGGATCGGTGAAAAATTTTAATTGAATTTCTTTTTGTCGCCGTCTCCGAGTTACGTCTATAGCACTCCGCACATAATAATACACCCGCCATTCTTTAAATTTGAAATTGTTTTTTCCCTATTATTTTTTTTTTTTTATTATTATTATTTACGAATTTAATTTAAGATTGGTTTCGTTGCATACACTGTTCGTGGTGTATGGGTGTTATGTCGCAAACATCGTAAACACATAATATAATAATATATGTTACTTAAGCGACGGAATTTGCAGAAACCACAAATACAGACGAGACGACCACTGTATACTTAACGTCGTACAATACGTAAGATATGATGCGTGTGTGGGTGAAGTACCGCAGTACGGTTCGTATAAAGTGTAAACGAAGACAATGTTGACATTTTCAAGGTAACAAATAGCCACGATCCACGAATCTGAAATGTAAATCGTGAAGCACTTTGACGATGTCGAACACATGAAATACAGGGTGATTCACCAAGCATGCTCATCGCCCCCCTTTATATAAAATTATATAAAATAAAGTAAGAGTTGTTGACTATTCAGTTACCTGCTATTACCCAACCCACTGGTAGATCTTTTGAGAAATATTGGTCAATTGTATTATAAATTATAATTATACCAATATTGGTTGATCAGGTGTATGATGTAGTATTGCCAATAATTTATTTTGCTTAGATTTAATTACGCGTATAATGAAGCCTTCCTGGTAGCTATTTTCGGCATTATTTTTTTATTTTTCATTGTTTTATACAGATAAATTATGCATGTCCAAACTTTAGTTGTGTGCAAGTCTATACTATCTTGCACGTAGCTAGACATATAGGTGCTAACGGGTAGGCTACAGGCGTACATATCGTGTTGGGAATTTGGGAGAACTGTTTTATGAACAAAATATTAATATATTTTGAAATTAAACTGTTTTGACAATAAATTTCAAATGTATAAACGTGTACTTATAATAGTACATAACAGATCTTGTGATGTGCGCTTAACCATAGCATTACGTACATTATAATACCATATAATATAAGCGTTGAGTATTTCTATATACCTACATTTTACTCTCGGCCAGGAGAGCTATGTCGAGAAAATTGAAAACGATCATTGGCTAATTGTGAAATACCAAAATATATAGGTAGGTAAACTCGAGTAGACTAGATTCGGTAGATGATTTGTAGGAACATTAGATGGGGTCGCAAAGTGAAACTTTTAGTGATCTCCACCCAAAAAAGTGTACTTAAAAAAAGTCGCAAGAATTAAAATAAAAAAAACTATTGCGTCGTCCTGGGTTGTCTCAGCCATATGGCAAAAAAATTCTCCGCGTGCCGTCCGTCACGTCACACACACACGCACACACACACACGAAATATTATACAGGCTCGCGCCGACACGATTCTGTCATAATTATTATCGTTATCGTCGTCGTCTCGTTCGTCGTGTGTCGCTCTCCTCGCGTGACCAGCGCGCGCGCCCGCTTGCGATTGTAGCAATAGTTATCATTATTTATTATAATAATACATATGCATATATATATGTATTCTGTTGTTCGGTCGGACCCACCGTTCGAGCAGGACTACTATATTATAGTCT